TCCCCGTGTTTGGAGGGTTCACTCCTGTCCCTTCCCAACTCTGGAGCGGTCCCACTCGGCCGTCCTCCCGCTGCGTTTCTATTATTTTACTATTTTAATAATTACTGCACACCGCACGGCTTGCCGGATCTTAGTTCCCTGACCAGGAATTGAATCAAGGCCGTGGCAGTGAAAGCGCACGGAGTCCTAACCACTGGACCTCCAGGGAATTCCCCCCAGCACCTCTTTAGATGTTTCCTGGCACCTGGTGTCTGTTGAGTGCCCTCTGCCTGGCTTGGTGCTGGTTTCTCTGAGGCTTTAAAAAAGGAGAATGGGAGTGGGTCTTGCCACAGCTGTGGTCTTCTGACCCTGGTCTCCAGTCTAAGCAGCCCTGTGTTCTTTTCTGCCTCTGGATTTGAAGTGGTTACAGGCTGCCTGTGTCCTGGTCACTGGTAATATGGGCCGAGGAAAAGTTGCAAGATTTTCCCCATGTTCAGGGGACCCATACTTGTCCCTTCCATACAGGACAGCCTTCAGTGACTAGCAGTGACCAAGCATGAGGCAGTCTGAGGATGGAGGGAGTCAGGCTATAGTGCGTTCATTGCCTAAGACCCGAATCCCCCCAACACACATACCGTGTTTTCCTATCGATGAGCATAATGGTTTCCTGCCAGTTGGGCAGATCACGTGATGGCTTCTTGTCCCCTGCGGGAGTGTCACATGGCTGCTGTTGCATGAGACGTGTCGTCAGGGAGAGCCGGGACTGAGTCCCAGGTAAGTGGTGTCCCGCCCGTTCTCTAGTACTTGAGTTGTGTGCAGGCTGTGAGGCCAGAGATGTTGGGTGCTGAGGTGTGGAGAGTGAGGGTGCAGTGGAGGCTTGGGCCCCATTCTGCTCCTGAGAGCCTGGATGGAGGCTGCTGTGATGTTGAGAGGACAGAGATTCACATCCAGTGACCAGCCAAGTGCTCTTCTGTGAGCCTGAGCGAGAATTCTGTCAGGTGTTCAATCCTGGTGCCACTTACACACATTCCTTCAGGACCTAAGAGTTCTCAGGATTTCTGCCATTAGTCTTCTCTTCAGCTCTTGGCAGGGACTGGTGAGTAATCGGGTGGTTCTGTCATCTTAGGCTGGAAGTCGGGTCAGTGACCTGTCTGCTGGTCTGCTCCTAGGCCAGGCCGTTTCCCAGGATGCTGGCAGTGGCCTCCCTTCTCCGCTGCCGCACTGCCCTTTTCTGCCCCTGCATTCGGAAGTGATCGTGGGCTGCCCGTGCCCTGGTCATTGATAGTGCAGGGAGAGGAGTTGCTGAAAGCCTTTCCCCGTGTTTGGAGGGTTCACTCCTGTCCCTTGCAAACTCTGGAGCTTTCGTACATGTCTTTCTTCCCACTGATTTGTGCTGCTTCCTGGTCCCTGGCGCTGTGTGCTCACTGAGTGCCCCTTTTCCCAAACAGGGTCCTGCCTTAGCAGTTCACAGGCTGGCAGTGGAGGGCTCCCCTCTGGCCGTTTTCTCTGATTCCCCATCGCACCCCTTCCTCATCCCGCATCCTCAGCCCCGCCCCTCAGCGCTGATCGCACCTAGAAAGTGTTGATTTGCTGATCGTGCCCCTTATGCTGTAATCTTGAGGGCAGCGCCTCCTTGTTTTGCGTTGCGTCTGGTGCCTGATGCACAGAACCTGGACCAAAAAAAAAACCCAAAGAGGTGGAGATGACCCATCTGTTGTGAGGTGACAGGGCTCCTCCCATTGCAGAGTGTCAGGGAACCAAGCCCTCCAGCAAGCCAGCCTGCCGGGTCAGCCTCCTTTTCTCCACTGGAATTGTTTCTGTAATGAAAGGTAGACTTACTATAATCTAGGTAGACTTACTGGTCATGAGCAGGGCCCGTGGTCCGCTGTGGGTGATTTTCTAGTGACCGACCTAGACAAAGCCCAGTATAGTTGAGGATGCATATGTAAGTCGCCCTTATACTACGTAGCAGGCACGGGGCCCTCCCCCCACCTGTTACCCCTCCCGGTCCATTCTAGTCATTGCCAGGCAGCCACAGCCTGCAGACCAGTTAGCAGCAAATTGATCACAGTTGGCACATAGGGTAACGTAGGTATTATTCCTGTCAGAGATGACCTGCAGACCCCCTCGTAGGGTTAAATCGTCCTTGTTCCTGAGACCGTAGTGTGGCCGTTCAGGTACTGCAGTAACAGCCTGCCTTTGTGGGTGCTAGAGACTGCCAGCTGCTGTGCCAAGTGTTCTGTGTGTCCCCCAGGGCCTGCTGTGAGTGCCCGTTCACCGGTTTTCCTTTGCAGCTGGGTCTGTGTGCACAGAGGCTCCACAGGAGGCGTCATCTTCGTGTCAGCCAGGTGCTAGGCCCTGGGGCCCCAGGTAAGGCTTTTGGACCTTCCTCTGGAATGTTGTGTTTTTTGTAAAGTCACGTGTGTGTTTTCTGGGACTTGGGTGATCGTGTAAGGGGAAGTGCGGTGACAGTAGCATCCTGCTGTGGGGCAGTCCCCCACATGCCTAGGGGAGGGCCCTAGAAACCTGCTTGAGTGAAGGGCTCCCCGGGGCATCTCCCTTCCGAGCCCTGGGGTGTCAGTGCAAGTACCGTTGTGATGGAGACCGGTCCCACCTCACAACCTATCTAGCGCTGTGACCCCATCCCAGACTCCACATCTTCATCTGAAGAGCAAAGCTGGGATAGCAGCAAAAGTTCTAAAAAATTTTTCATGGTGTTGCCATGACCACATGATCCTGATCTTTTCAGCCCGAAAGCATTTGCAGTTTTTTATGCTGGAAGTGTCTTGACTCCCCCTGGCAGAGAGGTTTTGTGGGGCCTTGGCAGGACACGACAGAAACTGCTGGGACCCGGCTAGGCTGGGCTGCTCTCCCTGACCCAGGCCCCTGGCTCCAGCCTCCCGTCCTTCCTGGCTCTTTCTGCCCTTTTCTGTTCCTGCATCGAAAGTGATTGTGGGCTGCCCGTGCCCTGGTCACCGATAGTGCAGGGACAGGAGTAGCTGAAAGACCTTTCCCCGTGTTTGGAGGGCCCAGTTGTCCCTTCCAAACCCTGGAGCTTTCACACACTAGCTTTTTGGTCCTGCCATTTCCTTCAGAGCACGGGCCTTTGCCGGCTCACATGTGATATGGTGACCGGGCTGGGCCCCGGACTTGTGGAGGTTCACTTTGTCTTTGAAGTAAAGGAGCCTCCGGACAGAAACCAGTCCATACATTTGTATTTGGACCTCACACTGGAATAAGTTCAGATAATGCTGAAGGGCACATGGGAGAACTGTAAATCGTGGGTTCTGCTCTATGAACTTAACAGGAATGGAGGACAACCCATAATACATTATTCAAGGCAGCCCATGACCGACATGCTTGTTTGTGTGTTGACTTTGCTCCTTTACTCTTTTGGTTTTTTTCCCTTTACTGTTTCTTTTTTTTCTTGTTTTTGCGGTACGCGGGCCTCTCACTGTTGTGGCCTCTTCCCGTTGTGGAGCACAGGCTCCGGATGCGCAGGCCCAGCGGCCATGGCTCACGGGCCCAGCCGCTCCGCGACATGTGGGATCTTCCCGGACCGGGGCATGAACCTGCGTCCCCTGCATCGGCAGGCAGACTCTCAACCACTGCGCCACCAGGGGAGCCCCCCTTTACTGTTTCTTGAGCACAGTGTGTATTGCTTCTCCAGGAGCAGCCAGTAGTGTCGAAAGAAAAATAAAGGTGGGCCAGATGTAGGAGCAAAGAGGGGTTCTACCAATTCTGAATCATTCAGAAAGCTTCCATTTGTCATGGTCTGCCAGAAGCCCGAGGAGTTCTCTTGTCAGTCACTGATGAGAGAAGAGTGCCTTGACACACCAACCTCTTTGTCGCCCCTGCTTTTAATCTGTGCTTTGGTGGGTTCTCTTTCAAAAAGGGTGACCCCAGGTGTTCACTAGAGAAGAAATTCCAGGCCTGTGGATCTGTGAGTCTGTGTCTGTAGACTCAAGGCTTGCTTTCTGGTTCATGTTAGGATGTGGTGTGGCAGGAGGACTCTCCCGCCGTGTAGTCAGCCGTCAGCAGCGGGCTGCCCTTCTGCCTTTCTGCGCTGCAGATGTGTTGGGTGGAGGCCGCAACCCTCCCCCGGCGCCTTCACTTATTAGACTCTGCAGGGGCAACGTGGTGCTCCCAAGAGGCATGTCTGGCTCCCAGACAACAGGTGAGGTCAGGTCCCACTCACCCCCCACTTTTGGCCTGAGGGCTCCTTTTCTTCCATCTACATTCGAGTTTCTCCTGTTTGATCCTGTTTTGCCAGATGTTTTTGTTCGCATCTCATGATGATGTGAAGGTAGTGAGACTAATATTTGTGAACCACCTGGTCCTCAGTAGCCGTCTAACAAATCTGAGACTTCCCTTGTCTTTCAAACCTGCCCTCTGCCCCTTTGCATCAGAGGCTTGTCCTGTCCCACAGCCTAGTTCCTGGTCCTGGGGCTCCTCAGCCAGCCTGGAGCATTTAATGGCTGGTGGTGACCATTTTGAAAAGACTTTATCTACCCCCCGTCCCCCCCCCATCCCAGACCTGGCACTTTAAACCTCTGGGTGCAAAGTCCCACATGTTGAGTTGGGGGTCACTTGTGTAGTGTCCTCAAGCGTTAATGATATTTTCTCATTATTCCTTCAAATGGGCCTGGCAGTGTTGATTTTCACCCATCTGGGCACCTAATGAGTCTTTCTGGAAGTTTCTCTTTCATTTGCCTTTCTTGGGTGGGCATATTAAGTGGGTCTTTGCAGAATAGGATGACAGCTACTGGGGCCTTGGGATGGACTGGGCAGAGAAGTAATGACAGTGGTGGGAGAACTGCTGAGGACGATGGTCCATCCTTTGATCAAGATGCAGTGGGAACTCGGTGTCAAAGTCTCTGACAGTGAGATCAGACTGAGCTCTGGTGTATCTGGCCAGTTGCCTTTATTGGGAGCTGTTTGAAAGAAAATTGTTTATTCTAAAAACCGAACCTTTGAGGTGTTTTCCTTTATTATCCCATCTATTCTGGTGATATCTAAGGTCAGTTTTTTTTGTTTGTTTGTTTTTAATATTTATTTATTTGGCTGTGCTGGGTCTTAGTTGGCGGCATGTGGGATCTAGTTCCCTGACCAGGGATCGAACCCGGGCCCTCTGCATTGGGGAGCGTGGAGTCTTAGCCTCTGGACCACCAGGGAAGTCCTATTCTGGTGATAGCTAGTAGGGCCTAGTCTATTGGGACCCTCTCAGTGATGTTACTTGGGGAGAAGATGGTGCTGCAGATTAAATGCTTGTATGGTTCTTCTCCCTCCTAGGTCAGCGTTCGATCTGGAGATCGTTGAGGAAGTCCCAGGGCCATGAGTCAGTGACTTTGGGGTGACTTGGGATCTGGCATTGCTGGTATTTCTCCCCAAGGTGAGTTAATGCCACGGGCTGGGAATCCACCGCCAGAGGGTTGGCTGGTTTGAGTTTATGCAAATGGGAACTCCCAACCGTTGGTCTCGTCTGTCCTTTCTTGTAGACTCCTTTTGGTCGTGGACACCAGCGGGGCAGGGAGTGGAGACTGCAGTCCACACATGAAGAGCTCCCCGCCGCCTGCTCAGAGTGTCATGGGAGAACTGTTCACTCAGCACGAGAAATCAGAGCAAAGCGCTGGGACTGGGGATTGGGGCCCCCTTCAGCTGGCTCTGGGTCCCGACAGCAGTGCCCTTGGGCGCCATGGACAGGCAAGGCCGGTCCCCGTCCCTCTGCCATGCCTGCGTGACTTCAGTGACCAAGAGTTTTTCTCTTGAGTTGGCAGCTGCTCATCATCACTTTTCTCTCCACCCGTCCGTTCAATAAACCGTACGCACCCACCCCACCTGCGTTTTAAGTCAGTAACAAGCCGCATGCCAGCGAGGCTGGGCAGGGAGAGAGTGGGTCACAGGCCAAATCCTGTTTCCACTTTGAGCCTTTCCGTCCTGCTCCTGAGGCTTGGCACGCGGGCTGTTGTTTGAGGTGTTCTGTTAGGACGGGGGTGAACAGACGCTGGTGGTTGGCTCAGGTTAGGACCTGTGAGAGTTGAGGGCGTCAAGGAACAGTCAGGCCAGGGCTTGGGAAGGGTGATGGGGACCGGAGTGAGACAGGTGCTGATGTCATTGGGGAAGCTGTGGGTGCCTGGCTCATGAGTACGTACCTGCTTGTGTGACCAACTGGCCTAGTTTGCCTGGAATTGAGGGCTTTCTCAGACATGGGACTTTTATTGCCAAAACCTGGAAAGTCCTGGGCAAACTGGAACGAGTTGGTCAACTTATCTGGGTGTAAAATACATGGTGTAAACTTGAGAGGACAGGTCACTGAGTAAAGGTGAGAATGGTGAACGTGGAGCTGCCATTGGTGGACTCCGTCTTTTGGAGGTGATTGGGGTAAAATCAACAGTTGCACTGAGGACATGTATGTGAACTTTTTAATCTCCATTTTATAGATGGAGGCGTCTACGTGAGGAAGTATGTCCCAAAGGCTGTGATGAAAGGCTCTACTTAATTGTCCAGTTTCTGCATTTGGAATTGAAACCACCTTGGCTAAGCTGAGGCAGGATTCAGGCTGTCAGGCCTGCCTGGTGGCTTTGACACCCTGAAGGTCTGGGGCAGGCATTCTTCATGGCTGAGACGTTCTGCCCTGCTAGCCATTCTTCGTGGCTGAAATGTTCTGCCCTGCTGGCCAGTTCCTGGTAGAGGCATCCAGAAGCGGGCAGTCCTTTTTCTGTCTCACTCCAAGGACTGTCCTCTGACTTCTGTTTGCCACCTTTGTGCAGCTGGTTGTAGCTGCCTGGAAAGACGCCAAGAGGAGGAGTCTGGTCCCACTGGAGATAGCTGTGACTGAGCGTGATGCTTGCTGCCGTGCAGGAACAGCAGCAGCGGGGCACAGGCCAGTCCTGAACAAGCGTTCCTGGGGACACCGGGCACTGGTCATCGTGCTAGCCCTGTTCTACTGCAGTGTGCGAAGCAGGAGACATCCCAGGTCTGTAGGGCCTGAGGAGATCTGAGGAGAGCATTCATCCAGGGTGACCCAGGAAGCAGGCTTAAGGTCAATAAGGCACAAACCTCGGCTGGGAAACCAGGCCTCACTGGAGCAGCTGGTGGGAGATTAACCAGACATCATACTAGACATAGGGGTACAATGGTGAATAAGACAGTTTGTGCCCTAAAAGGGGTCACCAATAAATATATAGATAATGTCTCCACACACCAAACGTTACAGGACATGCACTGCTGGGCACTGTAGGTGTTGGGGATGCAGCTTTAAACAAAACGGGGTGCCTCCTGGAGCTTGCTTAGAACTGCTGTCCATTATGGCAAGCCACCAGACACTTGTGGCTCTTTTAATAAAGCTTAAAATTCAGGTCTTCAGTTTTATCAGCCACATTTCAAGTGCTCAGTAGCCACAAGTAGCTGCGGGGTTGGACAGTGCAGATACATAGAATATTCCCGTCACTGCAGGAAGTTCAGACAGCGCCAGTCTAGAAAATAAGGAGTTGAGTTCCATGAAAGGAGTTGCTGGGACACCTTTACAGAAAGGCTGTCATTTGAGGAGTCCAAAGAGGGCTGCTGTGCCTGGCGCTGCATTCCTGTGATTATGGGGGGGAGGGGTTGGATAAATCGGGGGCATCAGCCCGGAGGGGGTGTGAGAGCACTGGCTTCCGAGTCACAGACCTGGGGTCTAACCCAGCAGGGTGACATAATGTGGGTTTACATCACCTGACCTCCGTTTCCCCTTGTGAAATGAGAACCACACCTCCACAGGAATATGGTGAGGTAAGGATTAAACAGACTTGTATGTGGAAGCCTGTGTAGGGTGTGGCTTCAGAAAGTGTTCAATAACTGATGGCTATTATTATTTATTGAAGTTTTCTCTTCAATTTTTTTTTTGTCTTTTTTCGGCCTTGAGGCTTTCAGGGTATAGCCTGTAATGCTGAAGTTTCCAGGAAAACAAAAATAGTTCCCCTCCTTTTACAACTTAAGATATGTATAATGCAATGGTTAATAAATATCTAGAAACATATACCCCCAAATTAGAGGATATATGCTTTTCTCAAGCACCTACATTTACAAATACTTTTTATGTTCCAGGTTACAAAACAAGTCAAAAATACCAAAGAATCAGTTATACAGATTACATTTGTATCATACTACAGTATAATTAAGGGTAATAACAACAAAAATGGGTTTGGAAAAATCCATATATTTGGAAAATTTAAAATGTTTAAAAATAACTCATCAAAGATGAAACCAGAGGGGAATTAGAAACTACTTAGAACTGAATGATAATGAAAATTTCTACATACCAGTACTTGTGAGATGTAGCTAAAGTAATTCTGAAGAAGTTTATGCCTCACGTGCTTATATTAGAAGAAAGGCTGAATAATTTTTATTAATAAGTAATAAAAAATAGAAGTAATGAGGATAAAAATTAGAGCAGAAACTAAAGCAGAGGGCAAAAATACAACAACGATCAACATGGCTAAGAGTTGGTTCTTTGAAAAGTCATGAAACTGATGAAGAAAAATAATTTCAGGAAGGGAGAAGGACATAGGACAGAACTGGGATTTAAAAAAATACAGATTACTTTTCGCCTATAAAAATTTAAACTTTGGGAATTCCCTGGCGGTCCAGTGGTGAGGACTCTGTGCTCTCACTGCCGGGGCCAGGGTTCAATCCCTGGTTGGGGAACTAAGATCCCGCAAGCTGCATGGCGCGGCCAAAAAAAAAATTTTAACTTTGACAAAATGAGCACATTTCTAGAAAACATCCAAAAAAGTTGCCTCAAGGAGAAAGAAAACTTCAATAGTCTGATAAAGACCACAAGGGAACAATAAAGTCAGATTTATTCGCCTGTTGCAGCATAAACTTTTTTGGTCACTGTTAAAGCTGTGACTTTCTCACAAGAGGAATTTTTTATCCTTTCTTGAATAGGCATAATGACCAAAACATATGTCCCATTGTTAAGGGACAATTGAATGCAGTCCATTTGGAGGAGGTTGAAGGGACACTGAGGCTCTGGCTTCAGACTGTCCGCAGTTTTGTCAGAATTTGGCTGTAGACAGGACATGCATGAGAAACATCATTGGTCAGGCCTTTAAAATCTTCCCGCCAATGTTGGCTTTTGCTTACAAGAACTTTCTGATCAAGTCTATTATTCTGCATAAACCCAGTCAAGCTGGGTGTCTGTCACCTATAATCCAAAGCATCATCGATTCTTTTTCTAAGCTTGTCAGGTATGATGCTTATTAGGGTATCCTATGATGGGCCCGGCCCTGGCGTGAGGCCCAGCAGGTGTTGTACTTCTTCAGGAAGACTTGCCCGCTTGTGGTGCTGGCCTAGCTAACCCAGGAGTCCAGAAGGCAAGGGGACCAGCTGATCCGTTTAAATAAGTGTGTGTCAGCTGTCACTCCCAGCTTCCAGACAACGATCCGTTCTCAGAGGCTCAGCCTTGTTTGTCAATCTACCTACGTGTCTGCTGACATTAAAAATAAAACAGCAGGGCCTCCCTGGTGGCGCAGTGGTTGGGAGTCCGCCTGCCGATGCGGGGGACACGGGCTCGTGTCCGGGTCTGGGAGGATCCCACATGCCGCGGAGCGGCTGGGCCCGTGAGCCATGGCCGCTGAGCCTGTGCGTCCGGAGCCTGTGCTCCGCAACGGGAGAGGCCCCAGCAGTGAGAGGCCCGTGTACCGCACCCAAAAAAAATAAAATAAAATAAAATAAAACAGCAGGCATGCCTCCTGCCAGTGGGAGAAGAGTGTGTGTGTGTTGGAGGGGACATGCTTCTACCCTGAAAATCCAGGAAAGTAGGCAGGGTTGTCCGATGACCTTGGTCGGGAAAACCCATGAGAAACTGGGGAACCTATTGCTGCCAAAAGATGCAGAAACAGAAGGAGGGGCCAAGGAGACTGGAAAGTTTTTATAATACGTTTTTTTCAAATAGCCCATGATTAGAGCAGAAGATTGGATACAGTAATCTGCAGGAAAAATCGTAACTTTCTTTGCTAACTAACCAAGCATTCCAGGATAATATTTGGCATTGGTTCATTATCTTTCACCATCCTTGCCAAAAATCTCACGTCTTTACTCTTAGGTACCTTGGGTTTTCCTGGCCAAGGTCATCAGACGTCCCTGGCTAATTCCCTAGGCCTTCCAAGATAAAAACAACACCTCTATGATTTCACCAGAAGAATGACATTGGTTGATGGTTTAAGATAGATTTTTTTTTTAATTAAAAAGTGTCCTCCTAGTATATTATGGAATTTTTAATAATTAAGAATGGATGATGATAACTATAATTTATCGATCTAGCTTAGTGTGAGCCAAGAATTGCCCTGAGCAGTTTATATACCTTATTTCAATGTATTTTCTTTATGTCATGACACCAAATGACACGTACAACTAAATTGTTCTATATGTTTAATGTTGACCAGGGTGCTTTGGGCGGCATGGTGATTGGCCGCTTCTCATGCTATTTTAAAACTGAGGAATCTGGGGTTTGGAGAGGTTTAGTAAATTTTGCTAAGAGAGCAGAGAGGTGATGGAGCCACAATTTGAAAGCAGGTCACACTTGCCCCAAGTCTATGCTCTTTAGTACTCTTGTAACCAGGTATGATGTGTTAGTCACAAAGATTTATTTTTCAAGCGAGTTCAAAGATTACTTGGGCTTCACTAAATATGAACATTTTTAAGTGTATAGTTCTGTGGCATTAAGTACATTCACATCATTGTGCAACCATCACTGCCATCCTTCTCCAGAACTTTTTCATCTTCCCAAACTGAAACTCTATACCCATCAAGCACCTCCTTCCCATTTTCCCCTCCTCCCAGCCCCTGGTAACCACTGTTCTACTTTCTGTCTTATGCATGTAACTACTCTAGGTACCTCATATGAGTGGAATCATGCAATATTTTTCCTTTTGGTACTGGTTTCATTCACCTATCATACTGCCTTCAAGGTTCATCCTTTTATAGCACATGTCAGTTGTATTCACTGAATAATATTCCATTGTTTGTGTATATCACATCACATGTTTATACATTCATCTGTTGATGGACATTTGTGTGGTTTCCACCTTTTGGCTACTGTGAATAATGCTGCTATGAACATCAGTGTACAAATAGCCATTTATGTTCCTACTTTCAATTCTTTTGGAGAACGGGGTCTAGGCGCGCGGGCTTCAGTAGTTGTGGTGCATGGGCTTCAGTAGCTGTGGCTCGCGGGCTCTAGAGCACAGGCTCAATAATTGTGGCACAGGGGTTTTGTTGCTCCGCGGCATGTGGGATCTTCCCAGACCAGGGCCCGAACCCGTATCCCTTGCATTGGCAGACGGATTCTTAACCTCTGTGCCACCAGGGAAGTCCCCACCATCTCTTTTTGAGAATAAAATGTTATTGGGACACAGTCACACTAATGAATTTACCCATTGCCTATGGCTGCTTTCACACTACAACAGCAGAATCGAATAGTTGTGAAGATATGGTCCATGATGCTGAAAATATTATCTGTCCTTTATAGAAAATGTTTGCCAACATGCACTTTAGATGATTCCTGAATGCATATTTTAAGTTTTGATAGAGAATTATTTTAGTCTATTTGAGGAAAAAATATAACCAGGATGTCAAAACTGTGGTTTCTTGAATGTTATTGTTTGGGAGGAAACTGAGTTTAAAGAGCGTGCTAATGTAAAGCGGGCTTAATGAAATAGTACATAGTGGTACAGATGGTCTTTGGCTCAGGCAAAATTGTGAAGGTGGGGAGGGAGGGCCTGATACTTGAGGCCCACTGGACCGTGCAGGTGCTGGGCGATAGCGGTAGATGCTGAGCATGACCAGAGAGCTTCAGGCCAACCCCTCTGTCAGGAATGGTGGCTGCTGCTCTTTTCAGTTAACAGTGATAGTAAATAATGGGCTGTTATGCCTGGTGCTTTCCATTTCTCAAAGGACTTTCACGTCTATTATCTCAAATGGATATCATTATTTCCACTTAGCAAATTCATCCATTAATTCCTTACCAAGGATTTATTGAGCATCTATCATGTGCTGGGTGGTATTTTAGATGCTGGGGATAAAGCCATGAACAGAACAGGCAGAGCTGCTACCCTATGGACCTTAAATTTTAGTAGGGTGGGTATCAGGATTTTGGCAGCAAGGAATCAAAATCCATGACGCCCTCTGGCTTGGGCAATAAGAAAATTTATCATCTGTCATGACAAGAGGTGCAGTGTTAAGTTGGGCTGCAGGCACAGCGTGCTTTTGGTTTTGCTCTCCTTCCCCGTGATTCTCTTGAACCTGCTCATCGCCATGTGTTACCATCCTCTGGTGGGTATCAAGTTTGCTTTGGTGTATCCTGACATGACAGCACCCACAGGAAAAACAGAAACACTGTTTCTTCCTTGTGTCTCTTTCTTAGAAATGAAAAACTTCCCCAGAAGCGCCGCTGCAGACGCTGCAGACTTCCGCATGTGTCTCATTGCCATTGTATTATTTAAATTTAGAATGGACTGCATATTACAAACAATGGTTCAAAGAAGTGTTAAATACAAAATGGAGACTGGACTTGAGAATTCCCTGAGCAGACAAAACCATTTAAGCACACAAGCAAAACGAAATCCAGCTTATTTCACGAACACAAGTGAAAGTTAAGTTAGGTTATTTCTTAAAAATGCCTCTGACAACATCATAAAAGAAACTTAAGTCATCTTCCTGAAAATGGTATGAGATATTGGGTTGACCAAAAAGTTTGTTTGGGTTTTTCTGTAAGAGGATACAAAAACCCGAACGAACTTTTTGGCCAGCACAATAATCGCTTTTTAAAAATGCAATGCAGTATTATTAACTAGAGTTACCATGCTGTACATTATATCCCCATGACTTATCTATTTTATAACTAGAAGTTTGTACCTTTCGACTCTCTTCACCCATTTTGCCCACTCCCTGCCCGCCACTTCTGGCAATCACCGATCTGTTCTCTGTATCTATGAGCTTGTTCTTTCTTTCTTTAGATTCCACAGATAAGTGAGATCATACAGTATTTGTCTTTCTCTGTCTGACTTATTTCACTTATCATAATGCCCTCAAGGTCCATCCATGTTGTCACAACTGGCAAGATGTCCTTCTTTTTTATAGCTGAATATATATACCACATTTACTTTATCCATTCGCCCTTTGATGGACACTTAGGTTGTTTTTATATCTTATAAATAATATTGCAGTGAACATGGTGCATATATCTTTTCAATTTAGTGGTTTTGTTTTCTTTGGATAAATACCCAAAAGTGAAATTGCTGAATCATATGGTAGTTCTATTTTTAAATTTTTGAGGAAACTCCATGCTGTTTTCCATAGTGGCTGTACCAATTTATATTCCCACCAACAGGGCATGCACAAAGGTTTCCTTTTCTCCATGTCGAGCCGAAACTTGTTATTTCTTGTCTTTTTGATAATAGCTATTATTAAATATTATTTGATAACAATTCCAACAGGTGTGAGGTGATATCTCATTGTGGTTTTCATTTGCATTTCCCTGATGATTAGTGACGTTGAGTATCTTTTCCTGTACCTGTTGGCCAT